CACCCGGGTGGCTCCGTCGGTGAAGCAGCTGCCTTCGGCTCAGGTCATGGTCCCAGGGTCCTGGGATCTAGCCCCGCATCGGGCTCCCTGCTCCGCGGGGAGCCTGCTTCTCCCTCTCCCACTCTCCCTCCTTGTGTGCTCGCTCTCTCTCTCTCTCTCTCTCTCTCTCTCTCTCTCGCTGTGTCTCTCTGTCAAACAAAGAAATAAAATCTTTTTAAAAAGAAAAGAAAGAAAACGAAATGGGAGAAGTTCATCAAGGCCTGGGGCAAGAGGGCATGGTGGGGACTGTGGCAAAGGGGACTCACCCACCAAAGAGGGGGTCGCCACCTTCTTACTTTTAGGTGAAATCTTCAGGTTTTTAAGTGTCGTCTTAAATTCATAACATGCTGTATTGGTGAAACAAAGCCTATCAGGGGCCTCGGGGCCACAGAGGGAGGGAAGCCTCGCTGGGTGGGGAGGAGGGGCAGGGGAAGACGCAGCCAGGGGACTGCTTCAGCAAGTCCTGACCTGGCTTCTTTCCAGGGAGCCTCGCCCACTCGCTCACCGGCCGAGCTGCAGCTGTGGTTGAGAATTGCCCCGACACCACCGGCCCCTACCCCTCGGGAGGGCACTGAATCTCACCCACAGACAGACCAGAGCCAGCCTTACTCTGGCGGGGAGTCTGAGGCCTGGGGAGGTCAAGGGACGTGCCCCAGGGGACGCGGTCAGCCCGGCGGCCCGCCTCGGCCCATCTGTCATTCCTACAGCTGACCCATCGCCGAAACACGAAATCCTGCTCCGAAGCCGCCCTGGGACTCGGAAAGCCAATGCTCCGCCCATTGTAAGCTTACCTGATTTTCCAGAACGCCGCCCCTTCCCTCCCCTTCCACACACCGCCTCTGCACCTTAAGCGGGGCTTTTTCTGGAGCCTTAAGATTTCACAGTGCTGAACTTCAAAGGGGATTCAGTCACGGGACTGGGAGCCTAGCAGAAAATGAACTTAAATACCAGCTGCGTCTTTTTTGAATCTGCCGTTGTCCCTCTTGTCCCGCAGCTTCAGGAGGGAGGAGTGGGCATCTAAAGCCCCATCCGGAATAGTCATTTATGCAGCCGGGGTCGGATGAGCTGGAGCCCCTCTGCCCCTTCCCCAGCTGCAGCAGGAAGCCGCCCGTCCCATCCCGGGGTGATGGGAGAACTGATGACCAAATGCCCGTCACCATGCCTGCAATTCTACTGGCCCAGCTCTGGTCATGAAATATTTTTCTTCTTCTTCTTTCTTCTTTTTTTTTTTTAATAAAAAAAAAAGATCGTATTTATTCATTTGAGAGAAAGAGCATGAGCGGTGTGGAAGGGCAGAGGGAGAAGGAGAAGCCGACTCCCCTCTGAGCAAGGAGCCGGATGCGGGGCTCGGTCCCAGGACCCCGGGATCATGACCTGATCTGAAAGCAGACGCTTAACCAACTGAGCCGCCCAGGTGCCCCTATTTTTCTTCTTCTAAAGTCATCTCTTAAAACATAAACACTCTGCGGAAAAACCTTCTCTCTGCCTATTCTGTCTTTTGCCTGACCACCAGCTGGATTCAGGGGCTGCCCAGTCATTTGTGGGCAGATAGGTCTACGCTGTCTGCCCACTTGGACCCCGAAGATGGACCCCCATCTAAGAGAGGACAAGGGACAAGCATGCGCCTCAGTGGACTGGCCCCTTAATTCAGAAGCACAGAGGTGAGGCGCCTGGCCTAGCCAAGGGGGAGTTCAGGAGAGCCTTCCTGAGAAAGGGACGTGGGTGCTGCATCCTGAGAAAGGAGTAGGCCTTCGTCAGGTGAAAAGCGGGGAAGGTGAGGGGGTCCTAGGCAGAGGGAATGGCACATGCAAAGCCCCGAAGACAGAGCAAAGGGGGCTGGAGAGTCTGCAGGTCCCTCGGGACTGAGTGGCAGGAGCTGGGAGAGGAGCTGGAGAGGCTGTGAGCCATAAGGACTTTGCTCTTCCCACTGTGGGCAAATGGGAGCCATGGAGGGCTCTAAGCAGGGAAGGCACCAAGTTAGATTTGAAGCATAGAGTAAGTGCTCTACTGCAACAAGGAGACTGGGTGGGTGGGGGTCGAGATGGAAGACGAGGGGCAGGCAGGAAGCTACTGCAGGAGTTCCAGTGATGGGTGGGGGTGGTCTGGACCCGGACTGTGACAGGTGGGATCAGAAAGTCAGCGATCCAGGGCAAGACAGAGAATAACACCCCTGACTCCATCCTCAGCCCTGGTCTTCTGAGCTCCGTGCCTCGGAGCAGGACCCACCCCCCTCTTTCTCCTCCACCAGCACCATTCCTTCCCCCACCCCACAGCCAAGGAGACACAGGCCCCACCACCGATACCTGGCTGGTCCGGCCGATGCAGCGGCGAATGAGGTCTCTGATGTTGCTGTGCTTGTCCGTCTGGAAGTACACAGTGGCGCTGGACTTTTCCTTCAGGTAGGGCTTCTCGGCTGAGGCCCAGGTGTGCAACAGGGTGGGCTCACTGCCCTCGGAGGCCATGGGGAAGTAGGTGCCTGAGTGCAGGGAGCGGGAGTCCAGTCCCCGGGGGCCTGCCTCTGCCCCTCCTGGGGGCTCCAGGGCACAAGCGGGCTCCTTGGCCTGGGCCTGGATGTACTGGGCCTCCACCGAGGACAAGAAGTCTACCTCACCTTCCTGGCTGAGTGCCTGCCAGTAGGCCTCAGGACCCCCATCCAAGAGGGCGTCTGTGGCCAGCCGGGCACTCTCATTGTCGCTGAAATCGGCCCTGGTGGGCCGGACCCACTGGCTCTTGACCTCTTCCAGGCGTTTCCGGATCTTGCCCACATGCCTAGACCGGCTCATGTTGCCCGGTCCCTGAGTCGTGGCGGGTAGGAGGCCGTGGCTTGAGCTCCTCCTGATGTCAGGGCAAGTGGGCCACACCACCCGGGAGGGGAGCTCTCAGTGCTCCCGGGAAGCATGCAGCATCCACCTGCCACGCTTCATGCCCGCTCCGAGGAAGTGACTTACCACTGGCCTGAGCAACACTTGCCCGGGATCATCCTCTGGCCAGGCCCTGGCTTATCTCGGGCGCCACCGCCCTGCCCGCGGGCTCGAGGGCTGGCTCCGTCACGCCCTGGCACACTCAGCCCTGGGAGCTGTCCTCCGCGCCCAGCAGCCGGCCTGCACACCTTGCACAACTCTCAGGGGCCCCGGCCTGCGATGCAGAGCAGGGAGGCTCTCCCAGCACCCCCAGGGGCCTCGGCCCCTCCCGTGCTCTCAGTTCAAACGCCATTGGTGCAAGACGAGAACTCCCCTGTGGGGGAAAGAGGTTGCCCCTGAGATTGCGCCAGCGTTGGGAGGGAAGCTGGGCGCGGGCCAGGCAGAGCCGTCCACCAGGCATACTCCTTTCTCCTAGGGACAACAAGTTCCTGGCCTCCGGTCCTCTGAAAAAGCTTTGCTCTGCTCCCTCTCTCCCCTATTGTGTTGGCCACGGTCATGTTTGAACAGAGCCCCCAGAGAAGCTCCAGTCTGCTGGCTGCATGACCTGCTTGGAGGAGGGCCCGGAGAGGAAGCTACCGTTGTGTCTGGGCCCCAGGGGCGTTGGGACCTGTCTCCCAGCGGGAGGGGCAGGTGGTAGCAGGTGTGTTTGAAATATAGGAACAGCTAAGGGAGAAGGCACATTTTCTTTCCAGGTCAGGTCATGGTCAAGTCCATGTAGGCGGAATGAAATGTCTGTCTTTGGGTTCAGCCGGAAACAGACCGAGACAGGATTCGAGTATAAGTAGCCCACTGGAAGGTGATTCCACGAAGCGCCAACGGGGGAGGAAGGAGTGAGACAGGACAGGACAGGCGGGGAGCCACCACGGGGCACGCTTACGAGCAGGCTGCTGTGGTGCACATCTGGGATTTATTAACATCAAGGGGCCATCTGGGGTCATTCCTGCCGGGCCCCCTGGGAGAGGGTCTAGCAGACCTCTTAGAATTTTCCTACCCAAAGGGTGAGAATGTATCTACCAGTCTCCATTTGTCATCGGCGGAGGGCTGCTCCTGGGCCCACATTAACCCCCACGGGGCGGGCCTGCCCTGTGCTCACCAAGCACAACCCTGAAGCCAGAGGAGGCATGCAGTCAGACTCCCCAGGGCGCGGTCAGAGGCTCACGGGAGAGGGGAGGGCTAACGGGATCGAGTAGGGCCCTGACAATGTCTGCTAAAAGAACTCTGCAGGACACTGGGACAGTGGGGTCCGCGCACGACTGGCATGGAGGAAGAGCCAGAAGTCTGTCTGGGGCTTGCCTATTCTTTGGAGGAAAATCGCTGTCAGCATCTGTAACCCACCGAAGCTGCAGCCCAAGCGGCTCCGTCCAGCAGGAGAGCAGGATGTTTTAAAAGCACAGCCCAAAGAAGAGAAAAAGAAATTAAAAGAAATTTCTTCTCCTCTTTTGAAGGTCATTGAAGAAATCCAGTTCACACCCTCAGCGACCCTGCCTTTACTAGAGGTTATCTAATCCCTGGAGCCTTCGGGATGACAAACCTAACAAACTCTCTCCCCAGTGCCCTTCTGGCTCCGTGCCCTTCCACCAACACTTGCTGATGCTGATTGGCTTAATCTCTTTCCCACGTTCTCCTCTGAACCTGCCTCCTCTCTGGCCCTCCTCAGTCCCTTCTCCTGTTCTGTGTCACCTAGGTCCAGCGCCCAATCTGCTGAAACCAGCCTGGGGAGGGGAGGAATGATCCCTGGGATTTGTGCTGGTTCACACCCGGGCTCAAAAACTGTCGGCGGCTCTCCATTGTCTGCCATGTTAGGTTCCATTTCCAAGACTCACGCTGGAGACACTGTGTGCTTGAGACCTGTGTGAACATTCCAACCTCTCCTATACTGGGCTATCCTTGAGTGCTCGCGGCAGGCTGGCCATCTGTGCTGAGGGAGACACAGATTAGTGGGCCTCATTTCACAGATGAGGTAACCAAGGCTCAGAGAGGTTGAGTAACGTGTCCAAGATCACACAGCTAGTGAGTGGCATAGCCTGGGCACTGTCACTCCAAAGCCCATGTATTTTCCCCTGGCCAAACTTCATCCTTTCCCCTCCCCTCCCCTCCCCTTTCCCTTTCTACTCTCAGAACAATCCACATCCTCTTACCAGTTCCAGAATGTATCCGGGGAGGATAAAGGAAGGGGGTGGATGTGATGGGGTTCTCCTCTCACCCAGGCCCAATTCTCTTTGTTCGATGAATAAATGATTGAGGGACCCCTGAAGCAGTGGCCTGTCTCCGGGGCCTGCAGGGACTATTTTTAGCTGTGCACTTGCCCAGGAGCTCTCATTCAAAAAACAAAAAACAGAAAACAAAAATCGGAGTGGACCTTTCACCTCTAGAGCTGTTGGAGGAAGAAGAGCCCCGTTTCTCCTTTCCTCAGGTCCGTGCCCTCACAAAGACCCAGAGATTCTACTTAAATCCTCCAGAGCAGACACAGATACACTCTATGTGCGCGGACACAGCTTATCCTTTTATTTCTGCGCCCCTGGCAGACATGACTAGTGGCTCACAGAACTCTTTCCCCAGGCTCTGGGAACCACCCCTCCCTGCCCTCTACAGGGCTCAGAGAGAAGCCCTCCCCTGGAGGAATCTTGGATGTACCGCAGACCCTCCACTTGCTGATGAGAAGCTGGAAGCACAGAGAGGGGACGTCCCCGCCACTGGCCGGTGCGGGTCATCAGAGTCGTCCTCCGCTCCTCTCCTCCGCAGCCCCAGCCCTGTGGAACATCACCGTTCTTGCTGGGTCTGCTGGCCGCAATAACAAATCCCCCGACCTGGGACTGCGGGTCCGGCCAGCTGTTGGGCCACACCTTCATATGCTGAGAAATCCTTCCCAAAGAGTCCCGAGCTGCAGGCCCGGTGGCTTGCGGAGGACTCACCTCCTTCCTGCCTTCTGCCTGAGGTCTAGTCTCCCCGGCTCCTGATGACACCCACGAGGAGAGCAAGAATAAGAAGCAGGCTCCTATTAGCAAAGGAGTGAAATGAATGGTGGTGGGGCTTGGCAGTTTGGGTCTTCACCCGGCGGGCATCTAGCAGTGTCCAGAGACATTTTCGGCTGTCACAGCGATGGGGGTGATGCTGCTGGTATCGGGGGGGTGTACGCCAGGGATGCTGCTGCGTCCTACAATGCACCGGCCGGCCCCCACAACGAAGAGCCAACTGGCCCCAAACGTCAACAGTGCTGAGATGGAGGAACCCGGTGGAGGGTCCAGGCAGGTGCGCTCGCAGACCCCGCTGAGCAGGTGACTGACCCTCCCGGTGTGGGAGGTCCAGTGCTCCGCCCTTGTTCAGCCTGCCCCCTGCGCTGGAAGTCCTTGCCTCCACCATCACAACGTAGTCAAAGCTTTCTCAGCGTCCTAGATCTTGCTCGAGTCTCACCTTCCCTGCCAATTCCCAAGCTGCTGATTTCCTTCCTCCTCTGAGCCTACAAGGTGCTTATAGAACTTGCCTCAGTCAGTCTTGTACTAGATGCGTGCCTCATCTTCCCCACTGCCAGGGAAAAAGCGTCCATGGCTTCGGAACAGGCACAACTGGGTTCCAAAGATACCATGTGACCTTGGGCAAGTAACTTAGAGGACATCACTGAACTTCACTTTTCTGTCCGTATACTAACAGCTGACATTTAGGGGACATGTCCTGTGCACCATTCTAAGTGCTTCATGTGTATGAACTCACTCAATCCTCATAGCGACCCCAAGAGTAAGTGCTATTACCATTTCTGTTTCATGGATAAAGGAACCCGAAGCACAGAGGTTACCTAACTAACTTGCCCAAGGTCACCTGGCTGGGAAGTGGCCTTGCCAGGAGCTACACGTGGGTGGTCTGGTCCCAGAGTCCACCTGGTAGCCATGCGCACATTCTGGCTCCCTCATGGGGTGAACCTCAAAGTGCATGGAATTTAATGGGGAAGCCCTGTGTCATAAATGATCAAACCTTGTTCCATTTTTGCTCCACTCTTCAGTCTGAGACAGTTCCAATATTCTTTTCTGAGCTTTTTACGTAGCTGATATGATACTCTACATGCCATTTTATATCTTGCCTTCTTTGATAGCATAACAATACTCAGAAGTCTATTTCTCGTATCATTACAAATGTCCATGCCTCCCTCTCCCTTCTCCCCCACCCTGTTTCTTGCTGAACAGTTTATTTATTTATTTATTTATTAAAGATTTATTTATTTATTTGAGGGAGAGAGAGCAGGGGGAGAGGCAGAGAGAGAGGGAGAGAATGAATCTTAAGCAGACTCCACACTAAGCGTGGAGCCTGACATGGGGCTCGATCCCATGTCCTTGAGATCATGACCTGAGCCAAAATCAAGAGTCAGATGCTTAACCGACTGAGCCACCAAGGCAGCCCCTTGCTGAACAGTTTAGTCCTAAAGCCACTCGGTGGGTTAGAGCAAGGAGGTGCAGAGTGAGGAAGGTCCCCACAGGGAGGGGGCAGCCTGGAATGGGGTATCAGCACTTGGGTTGCAAGAGGTGGCTGGGAGGATGCTAGATCGGTTATATAGGGACACTGGTCAAAGAAATAAATATTTTAAGGATGTTGGAAACCAAGTCTTTTGCCATTGGAGCATCTAGAAAGCAGGGAGACCAGAATGAACTCTTAAGTGTTGAATATGAATTGGAGATGCTGATTTGAACTCACAGTTTCCAATATAGATAGATAAATTTAGAAATGTTTAAGTTACATGAATTATAATATATATTAATGATAAATAAATGATATAAAATGTGAACATAACATGTAAATATATGCGTATATTCCCTGGGTCCCTGATTTGTCCACTGACAGTGAAAAATTGACAAAATGATTTCTGCTTTTGCAGA